TGGAAGGGCCATCGCAGCGTTGTTGCCGCCTAGCCTAGCGTTGTTGCTGCCTAGCCTGGCGCTGTTACCGCCTAGCCTGGCGTTGTTGCCGCCCAGCCTAGCGATGTTGCTGCCTAGCCTGGCGTTGTTGCCGCCTAGCCTGGCGGGTGAGTCGGGACGGGAACACCCCACGGTGGTCTTCTGTTGCAGATATTGTGCTCGGAAGGCGCCATGTCATGCCAGGGGCTGAGGGACTACCTGAGCACAGCCAAACAGCTCTCGGCCAGACGCATGCCAGTGAAATGCCGCCTCAAGCCCACACTGCTGGCGCTCACGCTTGTGCGCGGAGGGCAGGAAGACGGTTTCCCCCGTTCGGCGGCACTGTCTCGAGGCAATGCTGTCTTTTTTATTCGCGGCAGAGCACCACAATTATGCTCGCAGCTGAGCTGACATGTGGGACAGATGAAGCACCTTCCCCAGCGTGCCAGGGAGGAGCTACTGGCGGGCACGCACGTCTGGTGACAATAGGACAGCGAGACCACAGTGCCAGCAAAGAAGATGTTGATTGACCTAGGTCAGCTGCTGTACCGCATCTGGCCAGTTCCCGGGCCAGTTCCTGGGACCGCAGAATACCTGGATGACCTGAATGAAAGTTTGAAGACTCAACCGGCCCGCTTCATTCCGAACTCCCCCGAACAAACTCTCCGTGATCCCCCCCCCCCCCCGAAAAACTTCTCGTCCCTCCCGCCTCCCCCCCCCCCGAAGAAAAAAACTGGACACAATGCTAACTTTGGTTAGAGCGTCGAGGTCTCCACTATCATAACGGCTGTATCATTAGCGCCAGTCATTCTCAAAGCGCTCCTGGACATAGTGACCTGCAGCTCCGCCAGTGAAAGCAAGGCACGCAGCAATGCACGCTACAGCTGCAACAACCCAGTGCAGGCTTTTGGCGTACAGACCATTCCAAGTGTGAAGGAGAAATTACATTCTTTAGCCGTTGCACCAGCAAACAGATGGACATCGGAAACAAAGAAGGGGGGCTAGGTGTACGTAGTGATGACGATTACCGAAAGTAGTCGAGAATGTGACAGGTGCTAGGTGTACGTCAGAGGTCTGCTCTAAGTTTGACATCTGACCTCTGATTTGGCGTTAAGACAAATCCCGCAACCCCAAAACAAGTCCTAAAATGGCCTCACCACTCATGATAGTCCTTACATAGAGATAATACACGACTTTCTCTGTCTTCCAGGTAAGCATTCAAGATGGCGGCAGCCGACATTTTGAATTGAGGAAAATGCTCAATGCTGTACAAAAAGCAACCAAGCTAATTTAACTTTACTTTTTTATGTAAAACATTCCCGTGAAAAAAAATGCGATAGCTAGCATCCCGGTGTCCGCATTTTTGCAACTCAACTACTAACTGAGCTCGAATAAAACAAATGCTCACTTTGCATGAGCATCCCAAAATGTTCGGAACAACGTCTACTGTACGCCCTGATGAAAACGGCAGCCATACCACATCAACACCAAGCCACTCTCTACGGCACACCGATAGGTCAAAACACGTCCATCGCCACCACCAGGGGAGTGGAGCGACGGCACACACCCGTCACAGCGGCGCCCGACCCGGCCTGCGAGGAGGACCGCCCACCCCCAGTCCGCAGGACGACCCCCGGACGCGACAGTCCCTGGACCCGGCCGGGCACCACCCACAGGGCGGGGCGGTGAGCGCACTCACCTGGAGGCCTGTGACCGGGCCCACTGGCCAGCTCCCTTCGGCGCGCTGATGACGCCAAATGTCGCCTCAAGTCTTCGGCATAAGTCGCTCACTCGCACGGCGCGGTGAAGCTTATACGGGTAACGACGACAATACCTAAGATATTTCGTACTCTAAACATCCAGGTTTGTCCACTAAAAATGTGGTGCACGCGACGCCAGTGGGATTGCGGATGGAAAGTAGCTTTTTTGGTGTCGGGCAGGGACGAAAATATCGACAGTCTGATTTTCATGGCCAGGGCTTCACAGCCTAACTTCGCTCGTGAGCCGCAAGTGAACTTGCACCGCGTAGCAGCCCATGATACTGACAAACCCATGAATTTAAGACCAGTCGATCAGCTTGAACTGGGCTAGCTAAAAATTCAAAGCAATCCATTATAAGCAGTTGTGAAATACATCCAGGTGAAAGACAACCTATAAGTTTACCAGAAATAGAAGCGGCACCTCCAACTCCAACCTCAACAAAACTGTGACAAGCCACAGCAGAGCCAGACGACAGGGTGTGTAAGTGAGTAAGAACACGGGAAAGTGAGAGCTGGCAGATAACGTAATCATTACAAGTGATGCGACCAAAACTGGTGATGACAATCGTCTAGCAGTATGAAACAATGCGACATCTTGCAGCCTCTCGAATGTTAAGCCTTGTCACATCACATCTCTGGGTGGATGTTCCTCCGGTAAGTAAATGACGTTTTTGTTCCGCAACAACAGGTAGGTCATATACAAGGTTCGCCGAATGCACAGCAAGCGGCTATTCCGAAAAAGATTGTACTGCAATGACACTCTGTGAGAACCTTCCTGCGGGGTCCCAATAACGGTCGGAGACATGGGCTCCCTGTGCTACTGACCTGTACGGTGGTTCAAACTCCGCTGCCACCACGTGCCAAAACCAGCCGCGAGGGGCCTGGATGGGTGAGGAAAGTTTCTCAGATACGTGCTGTCTACATGTCCGTCATTACAACAAAAAGGGCGAGGGCACAGCTAGCAAGCCTCCAGTGTGATCAAACTGTTCAACGCTATCGTTCCCAGCCCGATGAAGCTGCCAAGTGACTGCTAGATCAGAAGGCTGTGGACGACCGACGACAGGGCCGATGAAGATGCCAAGTGACTGCTAGACCAGAAGGTTGTGGACGACCGACGACAGGTCAATGAAGCTCTGAGGTAAATGCTAGACCAGAAGGCTGTGGACGATCGACGACAGGCCAATAAAGCTCTGAGGTGAATGCTAGACCAGAAGGCTGTGGACGATCGACGACAGGCCAATGAAGCTCTGAGGTGAATGCTAGACCAGAAGGCTGTCGACAATCGACAATCAACATGGGCCCCTGGTAAAATATCACGGACCTATGCACCTATACAAACACCTACACAAATGTAGCCACACACCTATAGGACACCTGTATAGGACACCTGTAGGACAGCCACCTATACAAATGTAGAACGAAGAACCTGCACTGACGGAGTTGGAAGAGGAGCCTGCGCAAAAAAATCGCTTCTGCCCAGGCCAGCTGCCACCACAGGGCCGCTACTGCTGAGCAGAGCGTCTCCAACGTCTGACGGATTTTTGACACAGGGGAAAAATCGGATGCATTGGTCGGCAGCCTGTCGGAACCGGTGACCCACCAGGTGACAGGTCATCCAAAGGTCAGGTCAGGGCTCAGGCCCCTGAACCACCTGGAAGTACCTTGGATTTCCTGTGGACCCAAGAATGACCGAACGGAAACAGGTAGCTGCTGCGGTCGCATATGCGGCCAGCGATTGAGAGGACCTCCAGAACAAGATCCACAAGTCCCTGCCTACTACTCTTCGAGACCCCTGTGCCACTCGCGTCCAGTGTGGCACCACAGTCTGGTGCACCCTCTAACGCGTGGGTCCGAAGCCGTTTGGACGGCCCAATAGACGAGCCACCAGACGGGCCCCTGCCATCCGCCACAGGACGTTTCAAAAGAGAGTCCAGCCACCAAAGGACATTTACCAAGAGAACCCATCTGCTGGACCTGTAGTCTCCCGGCTACAGCATACCTCGTCCAGATATGGCCCTGACGCACGAGATCCTAGACAACGGAGTACACCACCATCACCATTGGATCACACGGTTTTTTCGTCTCAGTGGCTCCGTCCTTCACCGCAGGAGGGTGATTTGAGCAGGGTTATAGACCCGAGGCTCTCTACAAGGTCAGACGAATTGGCTCTGAGCTGAGACTGGCCGGGGGAGGGGGGTGGGGGTGGAATGCTCCACCTGTTTGGGTGGTCCTCTCTTTCACTGCCATCCCGCTCAAAAACCGACGCGACGCGCACTGGACTGGTTCTCAGCACTCTTGTCTAGAGTAGTTCGGCAGCGAATGGCTTCTGACGAGCTGGATGGTACCAGGCCTGCAGGCCAAAGCGCTGCTCGAGTTCAGAATAACAAAGCGTAAGTGCGGTAAGGAGATTTGAGGTAATAGCTGATAAGTCCGAATAACGGAGCCATGACAGGAGCCGCTATGGTGCATCTGGGTCTACCGCCTGATCCCATTTCAGTCGACCTCTCGACTCCGGTGATCGCGGACCGGGACGACGCCGCTCATACGCGCACGCTCGTGACCTCCGGCGCACGGCCGCAACGGACACACACACGGCATGGCGCTGCCGGCCAGCGGAGCCGCCGCCGCCGCACCGCTGTGTGGGCAGGGGCGGGGAGCGGTGACGAGGAGCTCCCCTCAGTCCCGCCCCGCCCGTCCAGTCGGGGTGACGAGGAGCTCCCCTCAACCCAGCCCCGCCCGTCCAATCGGCGGCGGCTCGCGCGGTGACGGCGGTCGGGGGAGCGTGCAGGTCCGATCACCTCCCCCCCCCCCCCTCCGCCCAGTCCACTCCGAACGGCACGGCGCACAGCCGGCGGGCGGGCTGGCAAAGTGCGGATGGGCGGCCGGGTGGAAAGCAAGACGGCGCAACGGCCAGGGGTCGGACCAGGCGGCGGCCATATCATCACACCGCTGGTGTGCTACAGCCAGGGGTCGGACCAGGCGGCGGCCACAATCGTCACACCGCTGGTGCGCTTCATCAAAAGGTCAGTCGCATCGCTTTTGGAGGGGCGGAAGGCAAAACTGCCAATCAGCTGTGAATATTTCAGAGCCGTCGATTTCTTCCCACGTTTACTAACGTTTTAGCAATAGCAGCGTTCCCGTACTGTTACCGCTGTTCATTGTGAGCCGGTTGCCGGGGACCGACCTGCACCCTCCCTCGACCCCACACGGACATGGACTGACCTTGTGAGGCTCTGTCACCGCCGGCGCCGGCCGACGACGGGCCGGCTTCTCCTGCAACACAGGCGGCTGCTGTCAGGCCGGGTCTGGCCGGCGCCTGCGCAGGTCACGTCTTGGTAAGGACAGGTGAAGGCAAGTCACAGACAGACTGCTCTGTGCGTAGCCCGGTTTAGTCCAGTTGGATCCCAGCCAGCTAATTAGCTAGCATCAAGTTCCAGCGTTTCTCTGGACCCAATTTTACTTCACCCCCGCTGGCGTAATAAAAACATTCCATGTTGGCCATGTTATGCTTTATCAATTGATTGATTATTGGAGCATTTGAGGACGTCGACTCCTCAGCTGGCTTTTAACATGCCGCTGAAACAGCACACAGAGCTATCAGACACTGGACAGCCCAACTTCCTGAAACCTCTCATCCCAAACCCTTGTTTACTGAGCTTCCGCAATCGCAGCCTGCCTCCTTCTCACCTAGCGAGTCGTCCAGCAGCGACACCTGGGCGGGATCAAAGCCTTGTCCCGCCCCACCGGCGTGACCCTCGAAGCTGGCCACGTGCCCCAGCGCGGCCTCCAGTTCTCCATCCTCCCTCGCTCAAATCCACCTGCTCCACCTTGATCACGCTCGGCGAGCCGCCGGCAGCGCCTATGGCGGTGGGTGCCGAAGCTGCACTTGGCCGGGCAGCAGCAGGCGGCGCCAGCGTCGCTGACGGCGAGGCCGGCCGGCGCCGCTTGGCGGGCGGCGCGGACGGGGGCTCGGCGGGCGGTCGCGACCGGGGCGGCGCCCGGGCGGCTGGAGTAACGGGCGCCGGCGCCTCGTGGGAGCGCTCGTCCGCGGGCCGGGTCCTGCTGGAGAGGTGGGAAGCCGGACTCAGCGTACCGCACACCAGCTCACGGTCAGGGGGCGCCACCGTGTGCTCGGTACGATGGGACGAATGATGAAGCAGCTGAATGCGGCCACAGCAGCTGCCGACGCGGCCACAGACGCGCCCACAACGTGGCGTGGCGGCAGACGGCACAGAACGCAGGCGTTTACACAGTCGCACGTTGTACGCTGGATCTCAAACTACATATATCTCATAAACATCGGGTCAAAGCCCTACGTTCTACTCGCCTGCTACTCACCGTCTAAGCGTGTCCCGCCTGCTGCCGCTGCTGATGATCTAGATCAATGCATCCACAGATCCCCAATGACCGCGCCCCGTCTGTGCCCGTTCAGCCCGCTCAGCAACGTCCTCGGCGACGCCGTGCCGTGACTGCCCCGCCCCGTGTTCACCTGTCCGTGACTGCCCCGCCTCGTGTTCACCTGCCCGTGACTACCCCGCCCGTGTTCACCTGTCCGTGACTGCCCCGCCCCGTGTTTACCTGTCCGTGACTGCCCCGCCTCGTGTTCACCTGCCCGTGACTGCCCCGCCTCGCGTTCAACCTGCCCGTGACTGACCCGCCCGTGTTCACCTGTCCGTGACTGACCCGCCTCGCGTTCACCTGCGCCGTGACTGACCCGTCTCAGGCTCACCTGCGCCGCGATTGGCCCGCCTCAGGCTCACCTGCGTCGTGATTGGCCCGCCTCAGGCTCACCCGCGCCGCGATTGGCCCGCCTCAGGCTCACCTGCGCCGCGATTGACCCGCCTCAGGCTCACCTGCGCCGTGACTGACCCGCCTCAGGCTCACCTGCGCCGCGATTGGCCCGCCTCAGACTCACCTGCGCCGCGATTGGCCCGCCTCAGGCTCACCTGCGCCGCGATTGACCCGCCTCAGGCTCACCTGCGCCGCGTCCTCGTCGCCGCTCAGGCCGCGCACCTGCAGCATCTCGGCCGTCTTGATGAAGCTTGCCAGCTGGCCCTGCGACACGTTCACCTCGCCCTTGTAGACGAACTCGATGACGGCGCGCAGGTCCTCGATGCTCGTGTCTTTCAGGAAGAACACCGGGTGTTGGCACGGGTTCTCCTGCGGGGAAAGGCAGCGTTGGCAGCCTGGACGCCTCAGGGGCGGCACAGAGTCGCGAGGGCTGCGTTGTGCACCCAGATGAGATTAAGTAGTAGCTAGCGTCTGTGCGTTGGATAGGCCGCGTGTGGCAGCCCACGACCGTCACACAGAAGACGGAAAACTTTGGCAATGTCAGCTTTTGGTTGCAAAGGGCCGCAGTACGGTGAGAAAAAAGCTCATAGCATGCTTTGCCAATGAACCTATAGCAGCACGGTTTTGTGAGGGAGAGGGGTTTGCGTCTCCCGAGTGGCCGAGTGGTTTGCGTCTCCCGAGTGACCGAGTGGTTTGCGTCTCCCGAGTGGCCGAGTGGTTTGCGTCTCCCGAGTGGCCGAGGGGTTTGCGTCTCCCGAGTGACCGAGTGGTTTGCGTCTCCCGAGTGGCCGAGTGGTTGCGTCTCCCGCGTGACCGAGTGGTTTGTGTCTCCCGAGTGACCGAGTGGTTTGTGTCTCCCGAGTGACCGAGTGGTTTGCGTCTCCCGAGTGACCGAGTGGTTTGCGTCTCCCGAGTGGCCGAGTGGTTTGCGTCTCCCGAGTGGCCGAGTGGTTTGTGTCTCCCGAGTGACCGAGTGGTTTGCGTCTCCCGAGTGACCGAGTGGTTTGTGTCTCCCGAGTGACCGAGTGGTTTGCGTCTCCCGAGTGGCCGAGTGGTTTGCGTCTCCCGGGTGACCGAGTGGTCTGCGTCTCCCGAGTGGCCGAGTGGTTTGCGTCTCCCGGCTCCCACGTGGGAGCCCTGGGTTAGTATCCCGGTTGCGCAATGGCCTCGAGCACTGATACAGCCAATGTAGTCGCTAGTGCTCCACAAAAGGATCGTGAAGACGTGCGTCGTGTTGCGTTTAAAAAAAGTAGCGGAACTCTTCTATATCTGGAAACAATGTGCGGGGGAGAAATCAGCACCACTCGCTAAGCCGTCGTTCCTGCAGGTCCATAAAAACCTAGGTCGATAAAAAAGACGTAAGAGCTTCGGGCTTTGACAGAAAAAAATGACCGGGTTGCGTTCTCACAGCGGCGACTTCAGAACAGCCAGCAGGACTTCACGCCAGTGAACCGCTGATGAAGGGAGGAGCGAACTGATGCTCTGGGAGGGGAGGGCAGCCCAATGACCTGGAGACCCCATCCAATGAGAGGACGGAACTGTCACTGCCACCAGGTGACCGCGTAAGATCCCACGTGTCCACTGAGGGGCAGAACTGTTACGGCCACCAGGTGACCGCGTAAGATCCCACGTGTCCACTGAGGGGACAGAACTGTTACGGCCGCCAGGTGACCGCGTAAGATCCCACGTGTCCGCTGAAAGGACAGAACTGTCACGGCCGCCAGGTGACCGCGTAAGATCCCACGTGTCCACTGAGGGGACAGAACTGTCACGGCCGCCAGGTGACCGCGTAAGATCCCACGTGTCCGCTGAAAGGACAGAACTGTCACGGCCGCCAGGTGACCGCGTAAGATCCCACGTGTCCGCTGAAAGGACAGAACTGTCACTGCCACCAGGTGACCGCGTAAGATCCCACGTGTCCGCTGAAAGGACAGAACTGTCACGGCCGCCAGGTGACCGCGTAAGATCCCACGTGTCCACTGAAAGGACAGAACTGTCACGGCCGCCAGGTGACCGCGTAAGATCCCACGTGTCCACTGAGGGGACAGAACTGTCACGGCCGCCAGGTGACCGCGTAAGATCCCACGTGTCCGCTGAAAGGACAGAACTGTCACGGCCGCCAGGTGACCGCGTAAGATCCCACGTGTCCGCTGAAAGGACAGAACTGTCACGGCCGCCAGGTGACCGCGTAAGATCCCACGTGTCCGCTGAAAGGACAGAACTGTCACGGCCGCCAGGTGACCGCGTAAGATCCCACGTGTCCACTGAGGGGACAGAACTGTCACGGCCGCCAGGTGACCGCGTAAGATCCCACGTGTCCGCTGAAAGGACAGAACTGTCACGGCCGCCAGGTGACCGCGTAAGATCCCACGTGTCCGCTGAAAGGACAGAACTGTCACTGCCACCAGGTGACCGCGTAAGATCCCACGTGTCCGCTGAAAGGACAGAACTGTCACGGCCGCCAGGTGACCGCGTAAGATCCCACGTGTCCACTGAGGGGACAGAACTGTCACGGCCGCCAGGTGACCCGCGTAAGATCCCACGTGTCCGGCGCCCTGACCTGACCCGCCGTCGGCTGCCGAGGCCGCCTGCCTCCAGCCCGGCACCTCACCTTGAGCAGCTCGCGGAAGTAGGGGCTGCACGCGGAGAGCATCATGCGGTGCGCCTTGACCTTGTGGCCGTCGCAGCAGAGCGTGATGTCCACCAGCTCCTCATCCTGCCGCAGGTGGTCGAACACGGACGTGACGCTCGTGCGGAAGCTGTCCCACTTGAGGCAGAACTTCTGGCCGTTCATCATCTGTGGGGGACGGGCACGCTGTCAGCCGGCGTGACCTAAGCGTGACCTTGCAGACCTTTTCCTTCCGAGGAATCCTTTCAGCACCTTTCAAATCTGGGGCCAATCAGAGGCTGTTGTCACACCTCTGCATCACCGAGTGAGATTAACGGGATCGTTAGGAAGTAGTAATATAAAATAACACGTGGCGGCCTGTTTGGAGGACCAACAGCAAGCCTAGCACCAACGACATGATGCCATAAACCTGGATACCATGTCATTGGCCTATAATTAACAATGTAATCGCCAATTACATCGCCAGTAAGTCACCACGTTACATACTGCCTGGTGACTGACTAAGCGCCAGAAGGCACTGATAGGCTAGGCACAGTTCTGGAATCGCCAGCACTGGTTCAGCAGCAGCTGCCAGACCAATTCTGTACGTCTGATTTTGTCAAATCGCCTGTCTTAATTAGCAGTTAACATCACATTCCACCCCTGTAATTGCATTGCATTTCAGACCATTTGTCTCCAATTCCCGTGTGCATGACCTGTTTAAATATTCCGCTAACGATAACAAACACTGAAGAGCACAACTAACTACACCTGCACAGCACGTAAGCCGCGCTTTATTGCATCTGTCACATATGGGCGAATTCAGCGCGGATGTGGTGACAGCTCATCGTCTGTTAGACACGCAGGCTCAAGAGGCGGCGTCAGCGGTCGCCGAAGGAGCGTCGAGGCCCGGACTCCAGTAACTCACGGCCGGCTACTACACTCCACAGGCTCAAGAGGCGGCGTCAGCGGTCACCGGAGGAGCGTCGAGGCCCAGACTCCAGTAACTCACGGCCGGACGCTACACTCCACAGGCGCCAGAGGCGGCGTCAGCGGTCGCCGAAGGAGCGTCGAGGCCCGGACTCCAGTAACTCACGGCCGGCTACTACACTCCACAGGCTCAAGAGGCGGCGTCAGCGGTCACCGGAGGAGCGTCGAGGCCCAGACTCCAGTAACTCACGGCCGGACGCTACACTCCACAGGCGCCAGAGGCGGCGTCAGCGGTCACCGGAGGAGCATCGAGGCCCGGACCCCAGACTGAACAGGCGGCGACGGTCGCACGTGAGCTACACGCCAGTCACTGTTGGGCCGCTCGGTACGTGTGCGGCTGCAGCGGCTGCGGCTCCGACTGCGGCTGTATCCGACAGCTTCGTAGTGATAGTACTGGTACCGCTAGTACTCGCACTAGTTAGTCCCATGCCAGTTCCGCTGGCGCTGGACTGGCAACCGATACGATGAATCACATTAAGAGCATAGGAATCAACAAACACCACTGAAGCTGAACTAAAACTGTTCTCTACGGAGCAGACAGCAAACACACGATTGCACATGAATTGCCCGACGCAGATGTCGGTTTGTGCCGTGGTTGTTGCTTTTTTGCAGCAGCAGCAGCAGGTTGCCTTCATTCCCGTGGAGCCAGTAGCTCCAACAATGGCACTCTTTGCCCCGATTGTCGTGAGCTAGGACAGCAGCGCGTCTCTCCGTGAAGCCCTGAGCTGTTGAACTGTGTGGGGCAGGGGCACGGAGGGCGCCCGCCTGCCGCCTCCACTCGAATCAAACGATCCAGTGTACGTCGAATGGTGAGTGACGGCGGGAGCAGCAGCAGGATAGTCTGAAATGAGGACCACGAAGCTCTTACGGGCGTGCACGACACTTTCCCATTGTTCCCTGCACCGCGTCCGTTTCCCACGTGGGGGGAGGGTTTAAATCCAGATTGCGTGGAGATCCCGGGTGCTAACGTTACCCACGCAGTCACTGTCACTCCGTAAAAAGGGGCGTAACGACGTGCGTCACGTCCCCTTTTAAAAGGACCAGCTCACAACGAGAGCAACCTGTTCAGACGCCGTGTTCAGCAGCCGCGCCGGCCGACAGACGCGTCAGACACGGATCACTTGCACAGCAACAACGAGCGAGGCCTCGGCTGCCTGCAGGAGCACGTCGCCCGCGAGCGGAGGTCAGGAACGCTGCCACCGCCGAGTCGGCGGCCACGGCTCGGTCGAGGTCAGCGGCCTCGGCCGTGCAGGGTCCGGCCGTCGGCGGCCACGGCCCGGCTGTCGAGGTCAGCGGCGTCCGGCCGTGCAGGGTCCGGCCGTCGGCGGCCACGGCCCGGCTGTCGAGTTCAGCGGCGTCCGGCCGTGCAGGGTCCGGCCGTCGGCGGCCACGGCCCGGCTGTCGAGGTCGGCGGCGTCCGGCCGTGCAGGGTCCGGCCGTCGGCGGCCGCGGCTTGGCTGTCGAGGTCAGCGGCCTCGGCCGTGCAGGGTCCGGCGGCAGGGTCGTCCCCGCCGGACTCTGGGTAGTGCGTGGTGGAGCGACAGTAACGACGGCACCAGTGGCTGGCTGACGCTGAGCCGCCGGGCCTCCGGTCCGCGTGCTCTGTACGGGTCCGGCTGAGGAGGAGTTCACCTCGGCACTTGGGCCCGGCGCCGACCAACAGCAAGGTGTACCCGAATTTCTGTGCTGGGGGACAGCACACAGCAGATCTGGCACGCAGGATGGGAGCACCACCAATGCCAGTCACTTGTGCCATGGAGCTACAGCTGCAGACTGGGGTGGTGGCCATACAGGTGTTGCCACCTGGTGACACTGCCAGTCACTCACAATGAGACTGCTTCCTTTCTGAATAATCTGGCTGGCTGGCTCAATGACCCTGACTGGCTGAATAGATAGATATATATGCAGGAGCTTCCACAAAATGAATTGCCTAGCTTCCAAGTCGATGTGCATGCAATGGCCACCAGATATAAAAGACAATGCAGATGAGCATGATGTATCACATTGCAATATATGTTTATCTACTTGAAAAATTTGAGGTTAAGATTATCCTAAAAGCTGTGTTGCATGTGACCTCTGACAACCCCACTCAGCCAGTAGCAAGTTCCACACCATGGATGCTGCACAGAATGTGAACACAGAATGTGGATCGGAGGCACATAAACTCCTGCAGACATGCCAAAGAGCGGCTGCAGTTGGTTGACAATCTGAGTGGCAGAGCCAGGTATTACACTCTGGTGTATCACATGCTTCACCCACGGCTTTGAAGATCTCATCTCGCATCTCTGGTGGGTAGATGGCTGCAAGGTGTGAGGGTCTCACAGGTGATTATATAATACACAATACTGTGTTCATGTATTTCACTGGCTCTGCTTTAATGCCTTTACCTTTAGAGCTTTTCAATACTACCATATTGGAAACCAGTGCTGAATGAACATCAGTAGCAGCCTGTGCCATCTTGCACCACATGGATTTCCACATCAAGATGCGATGGCTGTCGTCATGAAACCTCAGGCAGCTTGGCATGTTTGGTAGTTAGTGTCAATAAAACACTTAAAATGAATGAGCAGGCATCTGCCTTCTTAAGTAAGCATATCTCTCAAAGTGCAACAAGTCATACCCATTCACCTCATGATGATGATGATGATTTCGGGGTTTTTGGGCACATTGACTGCAGTGGGTTATGCTGCACCCTTCATTGTGTCCTCGATGTTGTTGTCGGCTCTGTTGGTTAATGCCTAGCCCACATGATTGCACTCATTGCCACAGTTCTCAGTGAGTAGCAGCAAGAAACAGCTGCTATTTATGTTGAATGTAAGATGATATAGTAGTTTTGATGGGTATTGGTGCTCCAGTTATTGGCGCGTGCCGGTATTAACCATGGGTGTAAATGATAGTCTTTCCAGAAGTTCCAGTACAAAACATGAGGTCAAACCCACTTCACACCAAATTTTCAATGAATAATTTTATCAAAACAAAGCTGAACCATCTCCAATAACTAAAGGGCAAAACTTTACCGCGAGAAAGCCTGGAAGACGAGCCTAACGCGACTACGCAGCTATCCTGCCGCCCAAAGATACGCTTGTGCCCCACAACCGACACCACGAAAGTATCTGATACCCCGCACGCTTGGAAAGTCAGCTCATGAAGTCTTCCGCACCGGCACGGAACGATAACTGGCCCAAGGCCAACTGGCCTAAACCGACTCCACGGCACGACAGTCCCCCCACGCGTTACCCACAACACCAGACCTGTCTACACATCAATCGCTGTGATTACAAGCGTCGGGCAGGCCGACGCCGCGCCAAATACGCGAGAACGCAATGTTGCAATTAGGAACAGGGCTAGTAAATATGGCGTGTTCAACCACGACGAGGATGCGATGGCCCATTTTCTGTTTCTTTTTCTAGAAAAGAGAAATTTGGTATATCATCTGCACTGCAGGAACAAAATACGTATTTCTACTATAGATACAACTTAAGTTGTTGCACGAGACGAAACTGTTAAGTGTTTTGCCGCCTCCGTAGTCCTGGAGAAACATGACATGCTCATAATCCAGCGGCACGGAGCACCAGTCCCACATACGCGCGTTGTTTGGCCAGGCTGAAACGGAAAGGTCCGCTGGCAGCTGGACAGCCAGAGTAAGCCCGGATATGGGACGGATAAACGCGGACCCGGGGCGGACGTGACTCCACAGTCCTGCCTGGCAAAAGGGAAGAGTCAAAATTGTTCGTCGACCTGGACAGATCGACTCGGGACAATTCGGTTCAGGGTATAGAAAACAACCCATGCTTAGCAGGAACTCCGAACCTTAAGCCATCCGTGCAAACCAAAAAGAAAATTAAAATAAATTGATAAGAGATGAAATAAAAAAAACTTTGAGACCCTGCAACAAACTCAGCAAACTCAGCGGCCTGTATGTGGACGTGCAATATGATCACTTTTGGCGCACAATAATCTGCAGTAATATCGTTGCTATTTTCGCCCGCAAAATCATGATCATGTTTCGGACCTACATCAGAGGCTTGGATAACTCTCCGCTACAGATCTGTCCAGGCATCACACTATATCACTCACCCTCAAGGGTTTTTATTCAGGTTAGCATAACTCACTTGCTCGGGGGTCTGCCCCCCCCCCCCCCCCCTCCCCCTTCCCTAGCTTGAGTTCCCTCAGTGTTTCTCTGCCCTCCCCGAATCCATGTGAGCCAAAAAGGGACTGCCGTGCAAATGAAGTGCAGCAAAGTGTCTGACTCTGAACTAGGGTTTGTACACCAGATACTATACATCCCAATCAATATCATCAGCATATATCGTCATTGCCAACGCCATACCGATGCAAGAAGGAAAGCGTGCCTCAACATCAAAACAGCTTTCAAAATGATCAATTCTTTTTTCAAGTTGAATTTTTGAAAATAGGGACACAGATCAAAATGGCTGATGTCCGGGGAATATTAGTATTCGAGGCAGGTTAGGTCACCTGTATTGGCTTAGCATTTCTAACCAATAATAGAAAGAGACACGCCTGCATGTGTTCTATTTTTGCAAGCTTTGCAACAGGAGCAGGATTGCATGCATGGCAATGCGTTACGTTGCTGCGGAGGAACGACCAGTCACCAACTGATGGTCAAAATCGGTTCAATGATTCTTGGTCCATCAATATCGGTTCAGCAGAAGTTGCGACGCATGTGTGACGTTCCGAACCACAACACGCGCCAAGATCGGCACTCGAGCCCTCCAGGCGTCCATTCCTCTCCCCGGAATCTCATGTCGGCTTGTGGACACGGACGTAACTTAACGTTAGATGATACTGGGGCTCATTTCCATTATGACGCTTTTTGCTGTGGTCTCAAACAACAAAAATTGTCAGGTCTGTCCAGAAGTTATTGGGCTTCTCAATCCACCGTTCTCAGTGGGGGCCACGCCCATGCTTGTGAGTCTCTTCCACACAAAGTTCCGCTTGTTCAGAGCATGGCCCTGGTAACGGAAGATTAGTAGGTGTCATGATAGCTCCACTTCCGAGAATGCTGAAAATCAACTGCGTGATGACGCGCTGAAAGAGTAGACCTAAAACCGGTTTGGGCATACTCGGTTTCAGAGACGTTGGTTCTGCTTCACCCTGGAAGCGGAAGGAACGTCTGCTTTTGAGAGGAAGGTCTGATTTGGAAGCACTTCGGCAGGTGCGAGTTACGAGCGGCCACTGTGGCCAAATGCCGGCGTTCATCGGTCCTCGGTGGTCCTCGCAGCTCCGGACAAGGCCAGGGACCAAGCAGCCCCGGTCATGTCCAGGGGTCTTGGAAGAGGCGGTGTGATGTGTCTGCAGCAGGTACCCGACCGTCCTATGGAGGGTCAGGGCAGGTGGGGGTCGTCTGTGCAGGTGGGGGGTCGTCTGTGCCATGGAGGGTCAGGGCAGGGTGGGTGTCGTCTGTGCCATGGAGGGTCAGGGCAAGGGTGGGGTCGGCTGTGCCATGGAGGGTCAGGGCAAGTTGGGGGTCGGCTGTGCCATGGAGGGTTGTAAATGATGTTGGCGTTGCCAGGGTGCCAAGATTATAAATGCATATTTCGTATTGCAAGCGCATACCGGCGCCACCCATGCGATACCCCAAAAACCAAACGATATCGAAAAGTTACCAAATATATTGTAGACAACAGACCCTTGACAACGACAACACGGTAGTCCGGTCCCCGCTACGGCAAAGATACGCACACATACGCATACAGTATATACCTCAGTGACTGGACGTCAATCTCTTCACGGCCGACGTTAAACTGCGCAGCGCTCCGCCGATCTCTCGATCTGAGCTGGACTGACCAATGAGCTCTCGCTCTGGGCTGGACTGACCAATGAGCTCTCGTTGAGCCCTTGGCCGGTCGTCCGCGGAGGAGTGGCTGCTGGCTGGGGCGTCAAACCACTCCACCGCCACCGAGGAGGCAGGGACACAATGGACCAGAGTCCTTCGCGGAGGCCAAGCGGGAAAGGCCGCGGTTTAACGCGGCGATCATCACAACAACTGGCACAACATATATGGCGTTAGCTACGGCAGTTAGAGGCTGAAGCTCACAGGACTTACATGTAATACACACGAACAACCGCGCAGCAGAGGGCTGCGCTGTTTTCGTCGGCCACCAATGGAGCCAGACAGCAGACCGGACCAATCGGACCAATGGGATTGGATAGAGCCGCGGGATGCGCGTAACGAGTCGACCCGGATCACGCCTCGGACCAGCGGCAACCTTGCCGCGCCACTCGGACACACGTCGGCAAGGCGGTGTCCTCTGTAACGCTCCGCGGCAGCGGGGCGACAGCGTATGTCGCGGCGCTCCAGCTACAGGGTAGCCAGCAGGGTCTGCACGGTCATGTAGATGGTGATGCCCAAGCCGACCATGAAGGCCAGCCCGCGGGACGGCTGAGGCACCTAAAAGGAGGCGGGGGGGGGGGGGGAGGTCAGACTGCTGTGGTGATGAACGCGTAGGATTTCCAGTGCGACGCATCGTTTGATTTAAATTGCGCAGAATCCGGTTCTTATTGACAATGCATAGCAAAAAGTGATAAAACTAAAACTTTGCTATCACTTAAGCTGCTAGATCACAACGTTGGCAGTGGTGAATGAGAGCCACCATGTTCAGGGCGCCAACGCTCTGGTTGCTTTGATTTCAAGGCTGAGCAGCCCCCGAGCTGAACGCAGTGCACGACAAACGACGGTTAACGAGACCCCTGACGATGGCTTGTTACATGGCGACGACGTGCCGCCAGCGACAGCGCACCAATAGCCCGCCATTGACAGCTACCAGTGGACAGGCCACCACGAAACACCACCAATAACACTCCATCGAGTACTCACCAATAACACTCTACCGAGTACTCAGCAATAGCACTTCACCGATGGCTCACCAATGACGCTCCACCTATGACCCGTCAATGGCGTCCCACTGATGACCCATCAGTGAACTCCACCGATGACTCACCAATGACTTCACACCGGCGCGTTATTTATCATACCGTGCACTTTAATAGCCAACCAGCACCACCACCACCGATACCCCACTGACGGAAGCTCATCGACACCCCAACAGGGGGGGGGGGGGGCTGTCGCCTCTCCCTCTGCTGCTGCTGGGAGCTGGAAATCCCCAACTGAATCGGAAACTACACCCCAGCATCCAACCAAGGACATTCAAACTCGGACGCCCGTTAGCGACAACAACGTACACCCCATCAACGAACACCCCACCAGTGAACACTCCACCAACGAACACCCCACCAGTGAACACCCTACTAACGAACACCCCATCAACGAACATCCCACCAACGAACACCCCACCAACGAACACCCCACCAACGAATACCCCACCAATGAACACCCCACTAACGAACACCCCACTAACAAACACCCCACTAACGAATACCCCACCAACGAATACCCCACCAGCGAACACCCCACTAACGAACACCCCACCAACGAACACCTCACCAACGAACACCCCACCAACGAACACCCCACCAACGAACACCCCACCAACGAATACCCCACCAGCGAACACCCCACTAACGAACACCCCTCCAACCAACACCCCACCAACCAACACCCCACCAACCAACACCCCACCAGTGAACACTCCACCAACGAACACCCCACCAGTGAACACCCCACGAACGAACACCCCACCAGTGAACACCCCACCAACGAAGACCCCACCAACGAATACCCCACCAGTGAACACTCCACCAACGAACACCCCACTAAGGAACACCCCATCAACGAACACCCCACCTACGAACACCTCACCAACGAACACCCCACCAACGAATACCTCACCAACGAACACCCCACCAACGAACACCCCACCAACGAACACCCCACCAACGAACACCCCACTAACGAACACCCCACCCGTGAACACTCAACCGCCAACAGCGCACAAAGAATAAGGCACCAACGATATTTCATCAGTGATAACCCACCAACATCTCACTAACACCCAGATAACACTACAACTAACATCCCAACTAACACCCCACTAACACCGCACCTGCACCGTACCAGCACCTAACCAACACACCACTAGCATCTCACCAGCACCTCACCCAAGGCCCGTGCAAGTCTCTTCCCGGTAACTGCTCCTCCGGTCCTCTGCCCGTACCACATTCAGGTAGACGAAGGTGTGGATGATCCTGGTAGCGGCGAAGCCTCTCATCAGCATGGTGGCCATCCAGGCGTTGGGTCCGGTGGCCAGGTAGAGCGGGCAGAT